GCATTAGACTGATAGGTTGGCTGTGTGAGACTAGTTGAAGGGACATCAAAACCCTACATTACCAAGACACTGGGATTGGCGGGGTGGGGGTGGGGGATCTGCTTTTCTTAGAATGGAAATGAACTGGAGAGGGCAAGACCTTGTTTCCCTTATTTTAGAAACTGGGAAAAGCATTATATGAAAAAGGCAAGGAATCCAGCAGAACTATTCTTTGCTGCCATCCAGGATTCCAGAGGTTTTTTTTAGCCTTTTCAAGAGGACAAAAAACAAAAAGTCAATAATACCTGTTGGAAAACTTTTTTTTCCAAATCCTTGCAGTTCTCTTCTTTCTGGTGCTTTTGGGCTGGACTCTGTGCTTTTCCTATGAAAAGGCCTATGTAAATGACTATAACAAAAGCAAACACCAGTGTTTGTCCCTACAATGAAACAGTAGCTGTACTCAATGCTCAGATGGACTTGGCAGTGCCAGCTTGGGTCTATTTCCACTCCCGTCTTAGCCCCAGAGATCCCATGCCTCTCCTCCCCACAACAGCCTCAATCTGTAGATAAAGAAACTATTCAGCATGATCTTAAATAGAGGCCGAAGTTCTCCCAGAAGAAAAGATTGTGACGAAGAATGACAAACTGGGGGTTGAGGGAGAGTCGGGCTGCCAAAGGCAGGCATCTTGGCTATGTTATTCAATTCCCTTGTGAGGGAGGCACAGGCTGGCTTGTGCTCTGCCAGGACTTGCTGTGGATATTATCTGAATGGCTGATATATATATATATAGAGGTCATGGAAATGGCACTTTGCCCAAATTATACAAACGTGGAAAACAACAGCTGATTATTGATTTCCACACTTATATATTGTAGAGGGCAAAGATTAAGATTCCTGAGTCTGATGTCTTCCAAATGTTGGATAACTCTCTTAATCATCCAGCAAACTGGCCAAAGGGTTATTGACTTGGTCCAATCTATTTGTAGGACAGGGAAGGGTGGAAAAATGGGGGAAGGTCAGTTATGGTAAAAAAAAAAAAGTGAACAAAAAACTGACTGCTTCTGAAAAATTCTTGACTGACTCGCTGCCTTCGTTTTGTTTTGTTCCTTTTTAAAGCTCCTGTGATCTGTGGTGAAAGGAGAGCAAGTCAGCCATTGTGCAACAAGGGTGCCTTCTCCGTTTACTGTGATCAGAGTTGCCTATTGCTGGTTAGATTGGGAGAGAAGGGATATGTTAGAAACAGAGACAAGCTTTGGAAACAGGATACTGAAACCCTGTGGAAAGAGGAGACAGGTAAAGGTGGCTCAGAGAGGAGGGGGCAGGATGGGGTGAAAATATCAGATCCGTAGAAACATGGATAACCCATATAGAACCAGACAAATTGAAAAGAAAATGCTGGCTTTGTGGCAGTTTCATATGGACAAGGATATTTCAGAAGTCAGCAGGAAGAAGTTGTTATATCTTCAGAAAAAGAAATAACAAAATGTTCTTTGTATATATTTTTGTTTTATGTATTTGTGTGTGTGTGTGTGTGTGTGTGTGTGTGTGTGTATCCTTTTGCCTTTAGTTAGTTTGTGTATGTTCTGTAAAAAAGTAGTAATTATTGTTCAAAAAGGCAGTACATATCTATGCTCTGCCTTCCCGAGGAAGCTCATAATATTGAATAACCTTTTATTAAAAACAAACAAACACAGATAGTCCTCAAGTCAGGAATGTAATAGAGCCTGCCAATTACATTTGTAACCCGAGGATTTGTTGGAGTGAATCACATAACATGAATGTTAAAATTCCTTGCTTTTGCCCACGCATTCGCTAATTGAATGAGTGGGTTGTTAAGTGCACATGCAGCACCTTAGGGTGGGGGGGGAGGGTACTACTTCTGACAACCCAACACCCGATCCACTGAAATACCTCATGCTCCCCACAATTGCTTCCCCCCACCCTACCACGCCCCGTCTTCACAGGAGACTCACCTATCTTGCGAAGATCTAGCGAGCTGTCTCCTCTCTGTTTCTTTGCCTGTTCCTGACACTTAAAATGCGGAGCAGTGAGAGCAGAGGGAGAGCAGGATGAGTGCCCTTTGCTCGGCTTCACTGAATCACCGAGGCTGCCAGCCGACGGGATGCTTTGAGGCAGTGTGATTTTGCTGTCTCAAAGCCTCCCATTGACTTGCAGTTCTCTGCGAATGGAGGCCTGGATGAGATCCATGCAAACGACTTTGCAAATGGAGCCTTCTGTCTCTCTGCAAAGCCTTTTGCTGTGGATCTCATCCAGACCTCTGTTAGCAGAGAACCGAGGCTTAAAGCACTGTGAGATCTCGCAACATCAGCTACTGATCTTTGCATGATCTCGTGGTACTTTAGGCCTCGGTTCTCTGTGAAGGCACCGAAGTAAGCAAAGAAACCAAAGGCTCACTAGATCTTCGCAAGGTGAGTCTCCACAGGCCCAATGTTGAGGGAAGAGGGAAATAGGGCGAATTTTGCAGTGCCTCTGTGGTCGTTCGTAAGGGTGTTCGCCATGGTGCTGCAACATCCGTAATCTGGGGACGGTGTCGTAAGTACTTGGCGGGGGTATGTCTCAACTTTGAACGGTGGCTAAAGGAACTGTCATAAATCGAGGATTACCTGTAATTAACGTGCCTTACAAATTTAAACATCCTACCACAATGAAAAAAAAAAATCAGGCACAGTATGATTTTTGTAGCATGCTTCATGCTACAAAGGATTTCTAACCATAGTTTGGCTTCAGGCAGAGAATAATTAGCCTCATTTCATTCTCATCCAGGTAATGAGTAGGTGTGCTGTAAATTACAAGTAATTGTGTCTATCTTTGCCACTGTAGTGGCCTGTCTGTTTCTATAGTTGCCAGCCAAAACAATATGAGTATTTTTGAACTGATCTGTTTACACTCAGTGAAAACTGAGATATTCTAGACCAGGGGTGTTCAACTTTGGCAAGTTTAACTCCCAGAATTCTCCATGCTGGCTGGCCTCTCCAAGGATATCTGGGGAACTTGTTCTTCTAAACCACAATAAAGTCAGCCCCCAAGCCAACCTGAGTCTGCCTTTCCTATCATGTTAGCTTTTTCCAGCATAGCTCCTTCTCCCTGGACAGTGGATTTGTATGTTTTAAACTGGCATTGGTTTCTTCCAGCTACTTCTCAAGCTCAGAAGTCCACAGATCAGGAATGACAGAGCTCTCTCAAATGTCAGGGTAAAAACATCACTTCCCATTTAGCCAATTCACATTTAGGTTAGGATAAGATCATTTTAAATCAAGGTCTGAGGCTTGAAAACATTTTGAGTATATTTTGAAACATCCAATTTCAGAGCAGAATTGCTGCTCTCAATCTGAAGCACTGAATTACAATTCATATTTGGAGGGCAGCAGATGGTTTAACACTGGAATAAATAGCTTATGTCCAAGCTGAAACTCCTTTCAACTCAGAATGTTTCTCATTCAAATTTTTGTCCAGAAGTTAGCATGAGAAAGTCTATAACAAACTAAGCACATCAGTGAAAAAAAACAAGAACTGTGACTTCATTTGTTTTTCAAAGTTCCATAGCAGTGCATCTTGTGATATGTTGGCTACACATATCTCCAGAATCTTTTTTCCAACAGCCTGTGGTCTCCAACTCAGGCAGCACAACCTGCAGTCCATCTGTTACAGACCACAATCTCCCAGTGATTGGAAACGCCTTTTCCTTTGTGCTGGTTTATTAAGTAAGAAACAGACATGCAATTAGGGCCCAATTGACCCTCAGCTGGACTGCATTTGTTTTAATGGGTTCACATCATAAAGTGTGATTCCTTTTAGTATTTTCCGCATCCCCACTTGAATTGCTTCACCTTCCTTACTCTGCTCCAGAGTTTGCTTCCACTCAGGGCTTGATCAATAATTAAGCTAAGTACACAGAAACACAAGGCTAACTCAAGGTCCCATCATTCAGCAGTTCCACAGTAGCTTCTCCTTGCTCTCCTTTTCATGTAGGCAAAGAACAGCCCTTCTCAACATGGGTTTCCCCAGTGTCCAGTGTTTACCCGCCAGATAAATGGTTGCACAGGGAAGAATTACAGGTAGTTCACAATTTATGACAACAAATGGGCCTGGAAAAATTGTTAAGTGTTCAATCATTAAACAAGAAAACCCATAACTGCACCTGGTTATATGATCTGTTTTGCTATGATCATTAAACAAATTTCTGTGATCTTCCCTGCCAGTTTCTCCATTGACTTGGCTTTTTGGAAGCTGGCTTGGACAGTCACAAATGGTGATTATGTGATCCTTGGATGCCCTAATCCTTGTAAATATGAACTAGTTGCCAAGCACCTGGATTGTCATCACGTGACTGCTGTGACATTTGCCACATGTGAATACAGTCACGTCACTTTTTTCGGTGCCATCATAACTTTGAACAATCACTAAAAAATGGTTGTACTAATCTCTGCTCCCCTCCACAATGTGTGGTTCCAGTAATATTTTGCCTGCTTGGAGTCAGGCTCAAGGTAATATTGTACAGGACCTTCCTGAGTAATCCACTGGAATCAGTGGTGCTTGTTTTTGAGTAGACATATATAGCAGGTTAGGGTTTATTTTCTGAAAATAGAAGCAGACAAGCAGCAATAGTAGTGGAGTTTGGTAGGATAAATATTGGGGATCCAAGATTTTTCAAGGGTTATTTTGGGGTATTTGTTTTAGTGAAAAATGTATTTTTGTGCACTTCCTTTCCTCATGCCTCTGAGTTCAAAAATTGGTGGCTGTTAAAGAAATCTGGATTCTTTTGAGTGTTTGGTGATGCATTTTCCCTTTTGTGATGCATACGAGCAGACGCAAACCAGTCATACCTGGACTGCATTCAGTGCATCTAAAAATACTTACTTTCAAGGAGGTTGAGTAGTGCAACTAAAGAGGTATTTTGTAAATGTACTTTGGTAGGTTGTAATAATCTCCCAGTTTTAAGTGTAGTTCAAAAGCGAACTACAGGCACCCAGAATAAGAATTTAATGGATATAAACATTGTTTCCTCTCCACACACTTGGCTGACAGGAATACTCTGAAATCCAGAAAAGGTTATTTCTGGTTTATAAACTAACTTTTACTCAGTTGCAACCATTAAATTATGTGATCGTCAGTACCATTTATTACCAAAAAAAAACACCACACACACCTTTCACATTATAAGGGGTGGAAGAGATCAGGTTTAGAAGAGAGGAAGGTCTTTCATGACTTTTTCTACACCAGTTTTCTGCAATCTAGCACCCTGGAGATAGGTTAGGTTAGGTCAGTAACGCGTTGAATTTTTAAAATTTGACCACACAGTTGGGAGGTGTTATCCCAATATAACTGGAAGATGCCTAAAACAGCTAGGTTGTTAGGTACTTTCTTCCCATCCTATATTTTCAGAATTGTGATTAATTCCTTCTCGATAGCAGTATGTTTCTGCAAGACACTCAATTGATTTTCAAAGCAGTAGAAATGCCCCATTAAAATAACACAGGTACTAAATATTCCACAGTTGTCATCCTTCTCCAAGCAACATCATCTGACTGCATAATACTTCAGGGATGAGATCATCTCAATATCAGTGAAGAGGAAGGGCGAGTTTTCCTGAATAATACCGGTTTGTAAAAAGTGAATTTTTGTGTTCTGGAGGAAAGCCCAAGAGGAACAACAATGTGGATATGGTGTTTTCCAGAAGGAGAGAGGCTCAAGAAGAAGCATGGAGTGGTCTAATGTTTTCCCATCCCAATGAAAACAAGGCTGCCCTACATAACACTTGGAGGAAGGGGAGATCTTCAGTGCAACGCTTGCTGTTCCTACTGGTGTTTCCAGCAATTGATGTATTAGTGGCTGTTGATACAACAGTGATAAAATGCTTGCAAGGAGCCCCAAGCTGGCTGTGACTGTGCCATTGTGCCAATGCAGTTTGTATAGCAGTGAATGTCCAGCCAGTGGCTCAGTTGGTTGAGGTCCTGCAACTAATATAAAACAGAAGTAGTCTCTGCCTGTCTTTGAGTCTTTCCTAGCAATCCGTCTGATGGTCTGAGCTGGGACTGTCCAAGATGCTTGAGGGCACAGAGTGAGGCTGATGCTTGCAGTGAAACATGTTGGAAATATAGAAAGCCTGCAAAGGAAAAGATGAGAAAAATGGCGTAAGAGAGCTAATTTGAACAGTAACAACTAAGAAGTCAGCATAGTTAAGAGACAACATCCAACCCCACTATTATTGCACTGCATCTACAGTTTAAATCTTCGGAAAAAATGGCCCCTTCCAACTTTCAGATACAGCTATTAAGTATACCCATTTTCTGATTTACAGGCTAGACTATTAATATCAGAAATAGAAGACACTGATCAAAATGTTATAAATTTCAAATTCCCATAAATTTGCTTTCAGCTTGTGCCTTCCTAAAACATACATAATTTTCTGAATTTTAGTACATCTCATCCTTAGGCTCCCTTCGTTGTGCTGGAGGCAGATGGGAGGGCCTGGAATTACACAACCTGGCTAGGAAATGGAATGAGTTCCTCCAGGCTGTCTACAGACAATGCTTACAAGGGTGTGTGTTTCCTGGCAGCTTGTGCTAAGCCCTGTGTTTTTGCTCACTTCCCAGACCAGTTCCTTTTAACTGCGCTAACCCTCATCAATTTCCTCCACATCACAGCAACAGAATCCTTATGGATTTTAAAAAGCAGGAAAAGGGTAATGAAAAAGGGCAAGTGAAAGAATTAAATAATTGGAGGACCTCTCTTACAAAGGACAGTGAAGGCATTGGGGGATATATGAGCCGGAGGGGAAAATGGATAATAAAAGAGGGGGCATGATCAAATTTTATGAACTGATACCTATCTGATATAGGTTAAATATTCAGTCCTCTCTCTCACGATGTTTAGAGCAGACCGTGTAGATTATATTCAAACAATGTTACTGGTACTACAAATAGGTCAGGCAGAAGAAGCTTGTTTTTCTTTATATTTAATAGCTAAAGATTCACTGCCACAATGTCCACTAGCACTGAAAGTTCGAAAAACAAACAAACCAATAGCAATTCTCTATAATAGCCAAATGAAATCTGCACACTGACAATCTGTTGGTGGGCAAACGGGAACATAGGTCAGCGGCCTTTGAGCCGAGCTTGTGGGTGTCTAGAAATACTAGACAGATGTCTGACCTTTGAAACAGGATACAAAACCGGATGAGCCTTTGCTGTAGTACATTGTTGCCCAATCAACATGCAATTATGTATTTAGTGCGTAAAAGTATTTATTAGCTAGTCCAAAATATAGGACTATCGGTTGCACAACTCTGCAAACCAGAAGCATGTCTGTGGGATTTCCTATGAGAGCAGAACTAACACATGAACAGCAATTGGTTGAAAAATCAGTTCAACTGCAAATTAGGAGTTACCATATCTGGGCTGCAAACATCCAGTAACTGTTAAAATGGCAGGAAAAGCTTAGAAGTCTCTGAGAAACTTTGCTGTAGTTTTGTGGTCATCCAGATATTTGTAACCCAAATACCAACAGCCTTATTTGAAATAATGTCAGGCTTGCTGGATCAAATAGGTTTGTGTACGTAAGAGCATAAGCCAGAGTCCCCAAACTTGGCAACTTTAAGACTTGTGGACTTCAACTCCCAGAATTCCTCAGCCAGCATAACTGGCTGAGGAATTCTGAGAGTTGAAGTCCACAAGTCTTAAAGTTGCCAAGTTTGGAGACCTTTGGCATAAGCAGTGCCCTGTTGAATCGTCCAGCAGCCTGTTCTCATGGCAGCCAAGCACCTGCAGAAACAAGCCCACGAGCCTCCCAGCAGATGGCCTTCAGAGGCAACCCCACAGCTTTGGAGCCTAGTAGCCATTGATCCCCATTAACTGGTCCAACCCTGTTTGGAAGCTAGCCAAACTGGTAATCAGCACCACACTCTGTAGTAGTGAATATCAAAGTTTAAATACATGTAATGTAATTCTCCTGCCTTTGTCTGCCTCAAATCTTTCAGGGTTCAGTTTAATTGGGGGACCTCTGGTTATAGTAAGGGGGAAACGTCTTGTCCTCTTTTTCCCCAGCATAATCTTTTAAACTCCAATCATGTCCCCCCCACAGTCGCTTCCTTTCTAAGTTAAAAAGCCACAAATACTGCAACCTTTGCTCATAGGGAAACTGCTCCATCTCCTTCATCATTTTAGTTGCCCTCCTCTGAACTTCCTAGATATTCTAGATATGGCTGCACCATTTATTTATAAAAGGACATTAAAATATTGGGTCTCTATCTTCAATATTGTTTTTTTTTAAATTATCACTATCATGCTGTTGCCCTTTATTTTAGAGTGGGTATACACCCTACAGATAGGTTTTTCTTAATCTGCCTTTCCTCCACCAAGTGCATCCCTCCAAGAACGCTGGAAGATGAATTAGGAAGGGGAAAAAAGTGATTCTCCCCAAATCTTCCACATAGCTTCACAGACAAATAGAGAGTTAATCCTGGGTTTCTGATCTTAGTCTAGTATCCTATAACACTTGGATTCTCTAGAAAACTAGATCATGCAAATAAAAAGGAAATTGTAGCACTTATTTAACTTGCACAATCTGCATAGAATTTCATTTTATTTTCGATTGAATAGTATAGAACATTATAGAATTTAGTATAGAATTAAAATAAGTAAGGCCAGTCTCTGCATATCAGAACATAAAACAATGGAAGTTAGAGAGCCGCTTTCCCATCTGTTCATTTTCACATCCGCTGGGCTACGTCTTCCATTATACCCAACACATCATGGCCTATTATTTGCTGTTTTTTTTGTCCTGACCCACCTTGGAAGCCCTGATCTCCTGCTTTATTTTGGCAATAGCTCCAGTTGAAGTTAAGGGAAGTTGTTCTTAAGCATCATCACCATACTGGGACCCTATTGCCCAATACGGCTAACCTGGTCCCCTCTTCTTTTCCAGTAGCACAGTCAACAATATTTAGTCAAATAGGAATGTCCAATTTTCACTATCCTCACGGTTGCTGCAGAAATGGCCGGAAGACTGTCACTCTTTTCTTTTGTTTGACTGTGGGAGTGTGAAACATAATAATACACCATTCCTACAGAAGTCCCCTTTGGGGTGGGGGACTATTCTATACCTTTGTTTCAACAGTCAGATCAGAGGGCCCTCAGCAGATCAGAGGGCCCTCTGGATATCAAACATAGGACCTAAAGATGCTTAAAAACTAAACCTCTTAAATCCAATGCTGATTAGGCTTAGCTGTTTGCACGACATGCTTCCCTGCACTCTCCACCATTAAACATATTGGGCAAACAAGGCCAGAGTTTATGTTAAGGGAGGAACAGGTAAACCAGCCTTTCAAAGTTGGGTTGCTCTCCACCACACAAATGAAATTCAATTCCCCAAAGACTCATGCTCGATCGTGAATTATGAGAACCATAAGAAGAAAAAGTACTAATAAACAGAACTTTCTTGATAATGTACTTCAATTCATTTGAGATTACTCTCTGCCTGCATGACAGAAAGAGCATAGAACAACAGGGTTGGAAGAGGCCCTGGAGGTCGTCTAGTCCAACCTTCTACTTGATCAGAAGACTATACCATTCCGGACAAATGGTTGTCGAACATCTTGAAAACCTCCAGTGAAGGAGCACCTACAACTCTGGAGGGAAGCCATTCTACTGAGTGATTGTTCTCACTGTCAGGAAATTTCTCCTTAGTTTTAAGTTGGATCTCTCTTTAGTAACCTTTCACCTATTACTTCTTGTCCTATCCCTCAGGTGCTTTGGAGAAATGGTTATCCCCCTTCTCTCTATGACAGGCCCTCAGATATTGGAAGACTGCTATCATGTTACTTCTAATCCTTCTGTTGTTAGACTGGACTAGACATACCTCCTGTAACTGTTCATCATACAGTTTAGCCTCTACACTCCTTATTATCTTTGTTGGTCTTCTCTGCAATCTTTCTACAGTCTCAACTTATTTTTTTATATCATGGTGACAAGAACTGGACACTATTCCAATACTACTGCACTAGTACTATAATACTATTGCAGTATAAATCAGTCCTTCACATGATCTTGAAACTATCCCTCTACTGATAGTCTTTTACTACATTGGCTTTTTTTGGTAGTTGCAGCATACTGCTTGCTCATTCTTAAGTGGTTGTTGACTAGGACACATAGGTTCCTCTCATAGTCACTATTGTTGAGCCAGGTACCACCTATTCTATACCTGTGCATTTGATTTTTCCTTCTTAAGTGTAAGACCTTACTTTTCCCACCACTGAATTGCTCTTTGCTGGATAGGGCCCAGTGTTCAAATCTGTCAAGTCTATCTTTCTGTATCTTGAGTCTATCTTCCAAAGTTGACTATTACCCCCGGCTTAGTGTTGCCTGCACATTATATGAGTTTCCCTTCTATCCTCTCACCTAAATCATTTATGAAGATGTTGCAGGGTACTGGGCCTGCTACAGAAGATTGAGGTACCCCTGAGAGCCTCGGTGACGTAGTGGTTAGAGTGCAGCATTGCAGGCTACTTCTGCTGACAGACGGCTGCCTGCAATTTGGCAGATCAAATCTCACCAGGCTCAAGGTTGACTCAGCCTTCCATCCTTCCGAGGTGGGTAAAATGAGGACCCAAATTGTTGGGGGCAATATGCTGACTCTGTAAACTGCTTAGAGAGGGCTGTAAAGCACTATAAAGTGGTATATAAGTCTAAGTGCTATTGCATCTCATGATTCCTTCCATTTAGATTTACTTATTGAAGACTACATGTTGACTGTAATTGGTCAGCCATTTGCAAATCCATCTGGTGGTGATGGTGTCTATTCCACATTTTTCTACTTTACCAAAGAGTAGGCTGTAGTCTACTTTGCCAAATTTCTTAATGAAATCTACTTTGCCAAAGGTCTTAATGAAGAAAACTATGTTCACATTATTTCCTTTATCCACTAATTTAGTCACTTTGTCAAAGAAGGCAATACGTTTTCTCTGGTATAATCTGTTTTAACACACTCCTGTTGGCTTCTAGTAATAGCTTTGCTCATTTCTAGGTGCTGGCAAATCTCCTGCTTGATTATATTTTCTAGGATTTTCCCAGGTATTAATGTGAGGTATTGATCAACTAACTCCTTCTCGCTCTCTGAAAAGCAGGCAGAGGCAAAAGAGGGTCAGACAGACTGACAGGTTGTAACTTACCACCCAATAGGCTACAAGTGCTCCTTGCAGCAGTCCCACAATTACATCAGATGGATGGTGTTGATAGTCCGAAATGCGAGTCAGTCCGGTGTACAGGGCTAGCATCAGTAGCACAAATTGGACCAGTGGGCGTAGCAGTCGAGCGCCTCGCCAGGTGAATCGGGCCTGCAGGTAGAACTGGGGAACAAGCAGTGGAAACCGAGTATATAGCAAACAGTAGCTCCACAGAAAGTTTTTTTTTTCCAATCTGTTTAAATCTACACTCTGGCAGAAGCAATGACAATGATCCAGGAACCTCAGAGCAATACTCCAGAGAAATTGGAGAATTAAAGGAAGAGGCTGGCTAGATTCAGCATTGAAATGCAAATAATTGGAGCTTTTCGCTTAGCACAATATATTAAACATGCCTTATGCTGGCAACTGGAAATCTTTCAGATTCTATTAGGAGAAAGGAAAGCAGGGATGACAGCAACAGCTTTAATCCTTTTCACCTTCTATATTTTTCAATGACTAATGGCAACATTTTAAAAAGAAAGTTAGACCATTTATGCAGAATTGAAAATTTTCCAGATTTTGCCTTGAAAATTATGAGCCATGATGGCGCAGTGGTTAGAGTGCAGTCCTGCAGGCCACTTCTGCTGACTGCTAGCTGAAGTTGGGCAGTTCAAATCTCACCAGGCTCAAGCCTTTCACCCTTCCGAGGCAGATAAAATGAGGACCCAGATTGTTGGGAACAATTTGCTGACTCTGTAAACCACTTAGGGAGGGTTGTAAAGCACTGTGAAGCACAGAGGTGGTATTCAGCAGGTTCTGACCAGTTCTGGAGAACTGGTAGCGGACATTTTGAGTAGTTCGGAGAACCGGCAAATAACCACCTCTGACTGGAGATTTTACAGTATCCTTCCCCTGCCAGGCCCACCAAGCCACCCCCACAGAACCGGTAGTAAAAAAAATTGGAATCCCACCACTGGTGAAGCGGCATGTAAGTCTAAGTGCTATTAGTTGTTCACAACACAGATGTGAGGGGAATGGAGGGAGAGTAGATGCTTGTTCTTGCTTGCCCTCTTTCCTACATAAGGGTCCTACATTTTGTACAGCCCGAACAGGATGACAACAACGACAGTAACAGATTTCAGAAAACAGCATGCTGGATTTATTGGGAAGATTCTTTTCCAACAGCAGAGATGGGGCATCCCAAACGAGCACCTCTTTGCCACCCACTACCTATCTCCCTTCTCTGGAAGAGGAATGAAAATATGCTTTTAATGTACTTAGACAGTGAAAGTTAAGAAGCTAAAGTCAGACTGTGAAGCAAGAAGAGAGCAGACAAAAATACACTTCAGAATGCCTGCTAACTCAGTACCAAACATTTTTTTCCTACTAGAATTTTCTGCTATCTAGAAGGGTTGTGTTACTATGAAGGCTGTCATTCACACAGGCAAAAACGAAACAAGGTCTGTGGAGATTACTCCATAAAGCAAACTCTTCATATGATATATCTTCCAGTTGTATTTCGCACACCATCCTTGGGGATGTTTGTTTTAATTAATAATTTTGAAGAGAGGACCTTGCACCCATGTCACAAGGCTGTTCCTCCACTAAGTTGTGCCTAAGCAGCTACCACATAGGGCTGCTGCCTGCATGAGTCTGTCTCCTTTTTTTTTAAACTGTGGTTCATGTAGTGTGATGATACATATTAACAGAGTTGAAAGGGACCTTGTAAGTCATCTAGGACAGGGGTCGTCAACCTTTTGGAACTCAGGGACCACCAAACGCATAATTTTAAATCCTGCAGACCAGAGACCCTGGAAAATCCCCAAAAAAGTCTGCAGGAAAATTCCCCACCCCGTTTTCCTACCGATCGATCATTCTTTATTTGGGATTTCAGGATACTGTCTCCAGCTCCATTCTCAGGGAGAGCGAGAGAGAGACTTTTGGCTTCATGCAAGGAAAGCAGAAGAAGTATTTCTTTCTCTCCCCCAAACTCTGCCAGAAATGAGTTTTTGTGAGACTTGTCATGCTGGCCCAGCCCCTTGGAGCAGGATGCCTTGCAGGGTCCCAAAGACTCATGTCTGGTGGAGTATGGGGGAGGGAAAGAAAGACTTTTGCTGCTTTCCTTGTATACAGCCAAAAGCAAAAGAAGCAGAAAGCAGCAGCTGGGTGGTCAGGCAAGGCGCGTGGGGCAAGTTCCCCCCTCCACCCTTTCCCCCTTCCCTCACTACCTCGTGTTGTTCACAATGCAAGTGACGCAAGCCTTGTGTTCGTGGGGGCCATTTGGGCAGCGCAGCCTTGTGTTCCCACACAGCCTGGATTAATTGCTTTCGGGGGGTGCTTTTCTCTGTGGACCACCAAATTTTCTCATGGACTACCAGTGGTTTCTGGCCCACTGGTTGGTGACCACTGATCTAGTCCATCTAGTAGATGATCTGCCCTCTTCCCAAACTTCACTTCTGTAAACCTGAAGAGAGGAACTTACCACTAAGTACATCATGGAATACATAGCAAAGGAGGCATGGCCAGAGTAAAAGGATTTTCTGGAAGAGAAAATAAGATATTTCTCTGAAGAGGACATAATATGTACTGCTTAGTTTGGTCTACTGACTCCAGCCACAAATGCAAATTGATCATTACACAACCTTACATTGACTACACTAAACCATTTTCTTCTGATGTCCTTTTTCATTGATAGCTATCCTGAAAGGCTCCAATCCCACCAACATTAACCATACGTACCCCAGGATTCATTGCAGTTAACTATTTTGTTAAAATCCATTATTTTAGGGAGACTTACATGCCCATACAGTTTCTTTGGGCTGAAAGTTTGGAGAACAGATTAATTTGATTCTACAGAGAAAAGATTATTTGATTACACAGCAAAGGCTTCAGAAAGTTGTCTTGGCTGCCATCTAATGGGCATCCAGATTTCTGTAGTCCAGATAGTGTGTTAGCTTTAGTGTGTTGGAATATCTAACAGTCCCTGGGAACATACAGAGAAAGGGGGAAATACGAGAAAGAGACTCAGAGTAACTGCATCTTCATTATGCTACGTTTTAGTTGGTCTAGAGAAGTGATTTGACAGGCTTCTGAAAATTTGATGCATTACCCCTCTAGCACTAAAAGTTTTTCCAGAAATCCAAGAGATTCTTGAGTTTATCAGCCTTGCAAGGCTTGATACCCAGTGAAGGCTGAGGTCAGTTTTGACTGAAGCTTTTGGGTCAAGCTAACAATAAGACTGCAATACAATAAATGCACTGTTCTCTAACAGAAGCCTCACTTGATCCATTTATCAGTCCTCCCTGTTTTTTTAAAAAGCATTGTCTCCTCAACTACCATCGTCATTATGCTGACGGCAAACTTATTCAAATCAGAGATAAAGCCAGATAGGGATAGAACAGAAAAGTTGGAAAGAGGTAAGCTGCAGGTAGAAAACAGATTCTGCATATGTTTTGTTGGCTTTGAAAATGAAATCTGATCGCATTCCTCCTTTGAGGCTGGGATAATGACAGACTGAACTCCATAGACCTCCCCACTTTTCCCTCTAGTTCTGACTGGATTAACTGCTCACCATCATTCCAATTTATATCTCCTCAATCCAGATACCCTCCAGAACTTACATGAAACACATTTGCTGGAGTGAGTTTCAGCAGGAAGAACCAGAAGAGATGAATGGAAATGGCACAGGAGTAGGTTGAAACATATAATGGTAAAACAAAGGAAAAAAGAGATTTCCTGCTCCCCAAAGATAATACAAGCCTTGGAATTGCCAAGAATTGCCTTCTACCTTGTTGGCTGGAGTTGCAGGACTGAATATGGCAGAATGGGAAATCCAATGTTTTTTTTCCTATCTGCTCCCTTGGATTTGTCTCTCTTGCAAGGGATAGACCGCTTACATCCTTCTCCATGGGCATGGACAAACATTTTGCAACTCCTTGAGACTGTCCATCAAATCCAGTTGAACAAAACTTGCCACTGGGGCAAGAAAGTGGCTGCCTCTCTTTTATATTTCACTTCAAATGTTCCTTGTGGGCAAACTTAAAAAACAACTCCTATTTATTACACCAAAATTGTTCTCTTTCTTGGGTTCGTAGATGTGCCCTAATATAATGGATTCACTTTCTCATTTTTGAGATTTCTCTTTTATGGTCTGTGATAAAATGATAAAAGCTAATGGGACCTTCCATACCTATTCCAACTTGGGAGATGAACCGGCAACCTGAGTGGCAGAAGTTGAATTCAGGATGATACCCAGCACTGATATCTATAGTTAGACTACTTCTTGACATCTCTTTGGAAGTTGGAGCCTATTTGTTCTCTTTCACAGTCCAGATCAAGCTTGGACACATTTTTGTGGCTGAAAGTCATGTTTTTTTAAAGCTTTTGAGGCTGCAGTTCATACCATTGCACACATTCATGGATACTTTTTTTTTCCTGTTGGGGAACTTTTTGGTGGCTCCAGGGCCTTTTAAAAGGTACTTGGGACCTGCAGGTTGCTCTCACTTTGCACACCTTTGAGCTGGACTTACACAATTCTTATCTTTTCTGGGTAGTGCCTGGATGGTAAACTAACTTAGCTGGAGACCCTCAGATCAAGGCAGCGTGCTGCATGAAGCGTCAGAAGGAAAATGGGAGAGGAAGATTCCGTCCTTTTCCATAAGCACGCAATTTGGCTATGATGCATGTGAAATAACAGGAATAAAAAATACACAATCACTTTTCTGTGATTCATTGTCAATATGCCATTGGGGGGGTTGGGCATCAAAAGATTGTCATGAAACATACCTGGCCTCCTTTTCCTTAGAGTGGCTACTAGTGCAAACATAGTCCTCCAGGTATCCAGCAGAGCAGGCCATGTGAGTGAAATTAGGTTGACAGACAGCCAGAAAATGTGGCCGGAGGCGACCTACAGCAACTTTTGCCATGTTAGTGAGTGACTGACCCACACAGCAGCCAAAAAGGAAGGTCCCAATTTCTTTATAGAGGGCAGTCACATAAGGATTGGGGATTGTAGAGCGTGATCTGTGAGGTAGATGATGCACATGGAAGATTTCACCTACAGTGATCTGCAAGAAAGAAAAGAGATGTTGGTCTATAAGCAATTCTGAAATCTGGGAGTAGAGATAGGAGAATAAACATTTCTTAAGTAATGAGATATGGGATTTGCTCTGGGAAAGAGAACAGGAGGACTCATCTTTAATGAAAATAAGTAGGGAGCATTGGTATAAAGACTCTTAGACCAGAGAACAAAGAATAACAGGGTTGGAAGGACCTTGGAGGTCTTTTAGCCCAATGTCCTACTCAAGCAGGAGACCCTATGCTATTCCAGATATTTAGCTGTCCAATCTCTTCTTGAAAACCTCCAGAGGCCATTGTGCTTAGAGCCTGGTGAAGGAAATGCGTCCAATTATACAGTTCATTCTTTGATCATTTGGCTACGGGAATTCCGTAGTCACGAGCTGTAGAAAAAGGCCCAGCCTTCCTCCCCCACCTCTTGCCTCCCTCCCGACTCACTGCTAGGAAGGAGATCAGGGTGCCTGATGAAATGAGCACAGTGTCGGTGATGGTCTCAGGACGCTGCAGGGGGTAGCTGATGCTACTGTCATTGCAGAAGAAGCCACGACGCATTGGAGAAACGAGGCCGAATTCGCAGATGAAGAATGGGATGGAGGCTACAGAAACAAGACAATTTTTTTATTTTTTTCCCCTTTGTTACTTATTACGTATTTATTTTTAAATTTGCTTCATCTTTTTTTCTTTTATCAGCATATAAACACACACACGCAACACAGAGTAACAATTCAAAGGAGGTTTTAATATTAAGTAATTAGCTTAAGACTGAAACCATTAGCATCTATTTGATAATTTTGATATGCGTTGCAGGAGTTTTTTAGTGTTATATTTACAACTGGATGGAACAAACAAAAGAATGTTATGCTTGTAATATTGACATCCTAAATGATAATTAACTGATATATTTTTCCTTTTCCTTTCTTTATATGCCAGGTGAATTACAATGTTAATAATCTCTAATCATATCATATAAACATCATAATGCAATGTATAGAAAAATGTAAGCAATGCTGTAAACATAGAATACCAAACTAGCTAACCTCATCGGTGTTGGGTTTGTTCTCAATTTAAATTCTAGTGGCTTGCCCTCTCCGTGAGGGTGAGATTTGTCTTGTAGGGTTCTTTGGTTGGGCCATTTACTGTTAACTTACTAGGACTTGTTACTTACTTCAGTTAACTAGGACTTTGTTACCTAACTTAATAGGACATGTTACCTACTTTAGTAATGAAACATCTGCAAGAAAACAACCAAGCTCGGAGAGCACCAAGGACCCCTCACAAATGGAAAAAGAAAACAACACACATGCACTTCCTAGTTTGGTGCCTTCCAGAAGTATTATTAGCTGTCGTGTATTGAGGGAAATTCTAGTCTTTACATTTTATTAAGGTATACTTTCTTACGACAAGAATAAGACAGGGATCCATATAAATACAAAATTGGCCTAATTCTTGGGGGCCTAGCTAATCCCCAGTAAGCAGACAGATATAGTCCCTGTCTAGGTTAATTTATCCTGTAGAAAGGAACAGCTAGCATGTATTCCTTGCTCTGAGAAATGCAAAATGCTGCCCTGTGGGGGGAAGGGGGGAGGGAGATACACAGTGTCTACATGGGTATGAAATATATATCCAACAGTGTTCTTGCAACTCACAGGACCTTCCTTCCAAGTATGCAGCACCTGTAGCCATTATGGACATTTTGGTAATACATGTAAGAGTTGTAGAATACAGAATAAGCATAGCAGACTGAGAAAGGACATGGGATGTCTTCTAGTCCAGCACCTTGCTTAAGCAAGATTTTCCTTTGGAACTTTAATAGAAGTCTCTCCCTATATGTTGTGTTGTAGTTTACTCATTTCTGTCCTATTCCTTCTGTTGAGACCCACCTACTATCTAAACCTGGATTAGATTTGAAGACAAGCACTTCTGCAACTTAAGTTCTCTTCCCTTCCTGAATGCAGCTGCAAAGGAATTAAAAAGCTAGAGTTTTGACTTACTACTTCTTAAGATATCATCTGATATGAATCTGAGACAAGTCTCAATGTATGTATTTTACCGTGGTTTATTTCAACAAACCACAGCTTAAGACTAACAACAGTAGTTTAAGAAAAGCAAAACTTCTGAATTTTTTCCTGAGCTTCATTGGAAAAAAGGGAGCAATAAGTTTGTGGTTCACCATCATAAAATGCAAATGCACTTTTCATCTCAGTAATTAAGTGTACACAAGGTAGGCTATCATTATTAGAGTGAGGGAATGAAATGAAGTTGCAGTTTGCTGAACCACAGAAACTGGATTTACGTGGTATGTAAGACCAAATCAACCCATTGTAGCTGTATGTATCTCTCTAGGTCTCATATGTTTTTCCTCACTTGCAGCTAACTAAACAAGGTGGTGAATGCATTTCTGCCTCATTCAGCCAAAATAATCTTATTGCTTTCAAGTTTAATGCTGAACAAAAACAAAGTGAATTTGAGGAATGGCTTACATTTGAAGGAACAAGTAGCTCTAATTGATGCCCATTGGTTAACATCCACGGGTTATGTTTAGGTTAGCTAAGTCAGATACAAGTCTAACATGCTGCAATTTGTTTTCTCCTTGGTTAACTTTCAATTAGCACTGAATCTTGAACATGATTCAAGGGATTGTATGTACAAACCAAGAAAATGGCCATATTTAGTAATGTAATTAAGTGTATTGTCTGAGTGGAGACATAATATTACCAAGAAGCCTACCCACAATTCCAAACCTCATTTTAAAAAAAGGAACAAACAAGTGATTGGATATAGTGAAAACAAAATTAGGTAGGTGGGAAGCTAACCCAACAATGGGGAAAAAAATAAGAATGATGACAGAAGCAAAATTTGCTGAAATTATGGTGGTTTTATAATGTGATTATAAAACCACCAGTCTCTGTCTTGGTTCACACCTTGTAGTAAGCCATTTTTTAAAAATCTTGATTTGTCAAATAAGGCTTGCCCAATATGTTATGCATAAACAATCCTCATGAGATGTTAAACTAACCAGTGTTTTTGTTTTATAATTAATTGGCTATCCCAGGCATTACAAAACTTATATGAGCTTTTTTCTCTCTTGAACACACCCTTTTCATACAACAGACCAGTGCTTCTCAACCTTGGTGAATTGGAATATGTGTGGACTTCAACTCCCAGAATTCTGGGAGTTGAAGTCCACATATCTTGTAATTCGCCAAGGTTGAGAAATGCTGTCATAGAGCATAGACTTTAGCATGCAAGGCTCCTCTTCCATCAGCAGCTACCTTGAGAATAATCTTACGGCATTCTTGTCAGGGTGATTTGGCTGAAGAGAAATGGGAAAGAACAGGGAAAGTGTGCTTAACATTAAGAAGGTCTCTGAGTGTCAGCAACGGGAATGGACAGAGTTGAAGGGAGAAGGATTATGTTCCTCAAAGCCACTGTAATATCTCTGAACTGAAATGGCCACAGAGAGCCAACTGCTGCTACCTCAGCCTCCATTCCCCCCTCCCTGCTTCTTCTTTCTACTGTCATCAGATCCCCTGGGAAGGGCTAATGAATTCTGCCTGCCACACAGAAGGAACTGGAATGTGAAACCAAGCAGGTAAGCCTTGAGACATGAGCCAAGATGTCTTGCGACTCTTTATGCACAGGAACCTTGGGATAGGTGTCACTAATCCCAACTCTGGCCCCCTGACACAAAGAATTCCCATTCCAAACTGAAGGATATGCTAGCTACCACACCAGAGATCAATTTCTGTAACACTCTTATCACATTTAACAATTAGAGTAGGATTTTGGGAAGCCGGGGCATGTAAAGCTCCAAATTGACTGCCCCCAATACAAACAAAAGTTGGAACACATCATTTGTCGATTGCTGTTCCTATTGGGTATTTGGAGCCATATTGTCTTGGCTAATGTTGCTAAGAACATATTTCTCTAATCACTGAACCACACTTAAAAAGGATCGTGTAGCCCAGGGTCTGGTTATCTTGACAATTTTGTAATTGATTGGACTTATAGCTCAATATAACAAGGAATAGTATTGCATTTTGAATAATGAACATATTAACAGGGTTTTTCATGAAAATGCTACTGCTGAGATTTCCACAACTTTGGATTCTCCAGATAAATTAGGGCTATTCCTAGACACTCAACATGGCTCAACTTGGTTCCAACATGTGGTTAAGTACATGGTAAAGCTCTTATTTGGAGACAGCGGATCAAACTCTCTTCTGCTGCCACCGATCACATAAGTAGAACAGGACCATCATCTATCTAAACCACTGGCTTTCAGTGTGATGGATACATACACAGCAATATCTTCAAAACTAGCATTTCTCAATCTTGGACCTTTATGATAATTGGACTTCAATTCCTAGAATTGCCCAGGCAGTCATGCTAGTTGGGAAATTTGGGAGTTGAAATCCACACATCTTAGTCACCAAAGTTGAAACTTATTGTTCTAAACCATTGTATTGATATTTCAGCAGGGAGAATTGGAAAATCAGCAAAGGCAGGGCATGTGAGGCAGCCACAAGGACACACAGCATTTGTACAGCCACATTGTCTTGTCATAACCATAAGCTACCTGTCCACCCACCCTTTCTGGAGGGCAGAAACAGATGATACCGTCTAATGCAACTCTTCTTGGTGTTTCCTGGCTACACATCAAACATAATTTTCCCCCCTGGCTTGTGTCTGTTGGACTGATGAGGTCCAGGTTGCTTGCTCCACTTTAATTTCTTCTAAGCAAGCCCTTGCATTTTTATTGGTTGCTGTGTGTAGTGGCAGGAATGCTGGGGTACTATTTTGGATCTGCATGCCATTCTCACCAGTGTAACTTCCTTTCCCCCCATTTTTAAAACAACTTTTTGCTTTTGTTCAATTATATAATTTTTGCAAAACTGTTTTCAAAGTTAAAGTATCAGAAAGCACACCTATCCAGGGATTTGGTAAAACAATAGTTTCTTTCTTGCATTTTTCTCAGCTTTTGTTTGGTTTCCCTCCCATGGAAAATAAAGTGATTGGCAATGGCTTTCCTGGCATGGGAAGTTGGGAGGGCAAGCAACAGGGGAGAGAGTGTGCACAGCAGCCAGCAGTCTAAATTCCTGGCAAGTTGCTGCTGAAGTGTCCCAACCTGCATAGAATTTCTTTAAATTAGCTTAGAGTTCAGCTGGCATCAGCACGGGACAAAACAGTAGTGCAGAACTGCCTCTAGACTTGAACTTGGGAAACAGTTTCCCAAATTTATGGTTTTACCACAATATTTAATAGATGGACAGTAGATGCAAGTCATTGGTTGAGTTGACACAATGCACTAAGGCACAATTGGGATTATTGAATCAACTACAGTATTGAGACTACATTCATTTGGTATCTCAGGGGGAAAAACAACCATTTACAAACCAAAAGGTTCGGTTTGCTCAATGCTCAAAAACAAAGTCAAATCAAATGCATCGTGACACGACTGAACTGTGTTTCTTTACCTAATAGAACTGGAGCCTCCTAAGAGTGAGAATGGGATTCAGGTAGACTAAGCAAATGAGGTTTGTGCAGGAGTAGAAATACCTTTTGCGATCCAACTAGGCTTAAGTTACAGACAGCT